ACCAACTAAGCCAGAGAGCCTAGAGTGAAACATGTTTACACACCTCTTGTCAGAGGGGTTAAGGATACAAGGTGCAGAAACATACATTTTTAGATATGAACACTTTGAAGATTTATTTTGCTTAACTATGCTTATCTATTTCAAGGAATTCTTCCCCTTCTTTCTCCCAGGTCTTAACTGTGGGAGAGGGATCAAAGGAAGGGGATTAGAAATAGTAATGTCAAAAAAAAAATGAGAGGCCCATTAATAATTTTTTTAAAGGTACAGAAGAGAACAGAAAAAAGAACACTGACATTTTGGTGACAAAGAATTTATTACATATGTTTTAAAAAAAGAAAGTGGCATAGAATATATATTCACTATTTCATATTAATCTCCTTTTTGCATTCTTCTATGGATGTAGAGATTCTCTTTTTGGGGGTGATTTATGTTCAGAATATTTTTTAATGCATTCTAGTATGAAGGAAGTGTCAATTCAAATAACTCAGGATTATTTTCTAGCCATGAAAAGTATGAAATAAAATAATGGAATAGGATATCCCCAAAAGCAAAGGATCTCAAATTGCAACCCAAAATAAAAATTTAAAAATCCTATAAAACAGTGCCTAATTATCAATGAAAAAAAGGTAAGCCAAAGAGCAACATTTGTGACATCCATGCAAAAAACAACAAAAAGGAAAAATGAAAGAGAAGTTTGCAAATTATTCCCATCAATATGAAAGAAATGTAAATGTATAGTGGGATTTGGACTGGAGTGCTTTTCATGGAGCTAGTCATATACACTGGCCCTTACCAGAGAGATGCATAGTATGTAGAAACTGTGCTTCATTAGCCCACTCTCTCCTAAGACCCATGTGGGATAGAAAGGAGTATGGCCCTACAGTATTGAGGAGAAATGTTTGTTCTTTTGTTATAGCCATATATCTTCAAAATAAATACTCATTTATAAAAGTTAAGTTATACTCAGTGGTTAAATGGAACTGAATTGCTATCCACCATTACCTAATAGTGAGAAGAATATAACTAGGGCCTTGAATTAATGGCAGGAATCACTCCCCAAAACTTCTCCAGGTGTCCCCATAAACATACTCTTCATTGATCCTTTGGTCCCCAAGTGTCACTTGGGAATCAGGCGACCTCTTTTTGAACTTCCAGAAATGGGAAGGGGGCTTTCTCATTCCTCCTTCAATAGAAGACCAGGAATATATTCAATAAAAGGGAGGATGGAACCTTTTTATAACTATTATATACCCTACATGGTAGGTGTTTTTCCCTGCCTTGCTATTTGTCTTTGAAACAACCCTGTAGTCTAAGGGACTACCAGATCCAAAAGGAACTTATATACTCTATGTACTCTGATATATCTTACTCTACTCTCTTCCCCATCAGCTAAATATCTGCTGTCCCCATCAAATCAACTGGGTGTATTTGATACATTTGTCTATATTTGCAATTTTTGGTAGTTCTTTGGGAAGGCTCAAGTATTTTCCTTTTGAGTGCCTCAACAGTGTCTTGCACTTAACAAAGCCCATGTGGCTTAGTTCTTAATGGCCTCCCAAGTTCCATGCCAAAAATCCCAGCAGTTCTTTTATCATGGTTCTTAGACAGTCCCCAAATGGAGTCTTTTAATAGTATCCAGAACTGGTGGACCTGGAGAATATACACTCGCACACTTAAGGCTATATAATTTTAACAAACAAATAACATTTTATGAAGTTTTCAGAAGAGGCATTAGAAAGGGAAAGTTTGAAGATCAGAGACTGAGGACTGAGCTTGGTAAACAAATCATAGAAAATAATAACAAAATCCCTTAAAGAAAACTATGATACAATGTACCGAAAGTTTTAGGATGTAGCTAAAACCGTCAAGGGGATAATTTATATTTGTAAATTCTTTCACCAACAAAAGAAAGAGCAAATCAATGAATTGCAAATTTAACTAAAATTAGAAAAGCAAAAATTAAAAACTCCCACCAGAAGAATAGAAGTTTTGAATATCCAAAAAGAGATAAAAGTTGAAATAAATAACATTGACTTGACTATTAAAACCACTAGCTTGTACTTCGAAGTGGTCAGAGGAAAAAAAATGTACAAAAAAGTTTATAGTGGATTTTTTTTGTATTAAATATCTAAAAACTAAAGAGGGGTCTGTCAATTTTCAATGGATGAACAATGGTATGGAAAGACAATGAAATACTTCTGAGCCATAAGAAACAACAAATCAGATGAATTAGGAGAAATGCCTCCCCCATCCAAATTATATATAATGGAAATTTTTGATTTTATGTTCCATTCTCTTTTTCTGTTCTTTCCGTAGAGAAAAGTTTGTGTTTATTGATGTTTGTCAAGTACATAATAATAAAAGAGAAAGATTTTTTAAAAAATAAATTATACAACACATTTTCAAAATGAACATAAAACATAATTACTGGCCATCATGTCCCTGGCACATGAAGCTTGGCAATAGGTGAGAAATTTTCTTTCCTATGGCTTCTGTCTATAGCATAGACAGATATAGACTTTATACTTAGGTGTATGTGACCCAAAGGCAACCAGCCAGTTCAGCATAAAATTTAGTTGAACAGATTGTCTTCTGTAAGTCAGAGCAAACAACTGAGAGACTTGAATAGTCATACATAAATCCAATCAACCCAACTTGAGCAATTTTTTCCTCTCATTGAACTAAAAACTTGTTTTATTGTCCTGTAAATCGATCTTCTGGGCTTTTCCAGGAGGCCCATTCTTTGAGCCTCTTATGATTGCTAACACCACTCACAAAAGGGGTTTTCTCTTAACTGGTGACTGCCTTTCACTTTCCAACTTATCCAACAACAGCTGTTTATATTTTATTGTTATAAAAGTAAATGCTTCAAATAATGACGTAACAATCATGCCTTGAGGAAAGTATTAGAGTCATGAAAGGCTGCAATCTTAGAAGCTGTCACTTGAATGAGTATAGCGGACCCTGGAATAACTTCAAGAGTAAAAAGCATGTGTGATCATTGGCTTTGTGTCATTCTGGTGCCCCTTTGGAGGAGGTTGAGGGAGGGAAAGGAGAAGAGGAAAGGGATCATGAAAAGAAGGCAGTGAATTTATTTGAGAAAATCCTTAAACACCAGTCACCTTGCTGTTTGTTGTCTAAGGCCAGCAATCTCTAAGTAGGGGCTTGTCTGGGGGCTCATGGAACTTCTAGGAGAAACATCAGCATGAGTCCTGAAGGGGTGGACCGGGTCATTTCAAAGTCTAGTGCACCATCAAGCTCCTTAAACCCCAAGTCTTTGATTTATTATGGCAACTTTGAGAGGACAATCCTGTATGTTTTCATTATGGCTAAATGCTGCACAGGATAGCCATCAACAGAAAATAATACCTTTGTTCCAAGGCAATGTTTTATTGCTAAGGCATAGAATTTCCTATTGTAATTTATAATTGAAATGATTTTTCAGAATTTGAGAATTTGGAGGGACTTTAGAGATCATCTTTTCCTACTGCTGCTGCAAAATGAGATTAGACCCGGAGATTTCAGATTTAAAGGCTAGTGACTCATCTTTGCTATTCAATAGATTTAATATATATTATATAATACTCAGTAATAAAAGGTACAATACCAACTTAAATAATAAAATATTAATGCTATATTAGTATACTGTAATTACTATTATATTGATATAAAATATAAAACCAAATAATACAATAAAACAAATTATACAAAAATATATTTTGGATTGGTACTTTGACTTTTTAAAGAGCTATTCAGATGTGTTCTGTGGAATTCTTGGATTATGATCATTTACTTAGACTTTTTTTTGGTCTGGAATCATGTTTATTTAAAATTCTGTGTGGTAACTAACAAATTGAGGCAACTGAAATATTTTCAATGCAAATAATATTGAATTTTTATTTGGACTTAATTACCCTGGTTAATTCTGAATTATCCTGGAAATTTACCACTTATTTTCTACCGCACTTCAACCATGAAGATATGACACAGTATTGGGGACCCAGGTCCTGATAGAAAAACAAAGCCTATGAGAGGAATGCTAGAGTCAGAACCATGGCTAGCACTGCATGCTGAGGCCTGCCAGCATAAAACCCTTGGGACAAATGGTAGGAAGCATACCCTTAGCTATCCATGGCTGTGGAGGCAGTTGGGGGATAGGGATATAGGGAGGGACAGAGAGGATTTCACCTGGGATATGGCTGCCTAAGGAGAAAGCATCTGGTAGTTCCCAGTTGTAACTGCTTATCCTCGCTAACTAGGTGTCAAGCACAATTGTCTCTAAGTTGCTGAAGAATTGTAAGTGCTGCTAGTGGCCTTTACATTTGGGGATCCTGAAGCAAAGCTTACATTCAGGAATACTGTGAGTACATGCTCACTCATTTGTTTTTGTTGATATTTCTGAATAATATGCTAGATCTGTGGATGGTCTAAGAGTAGTGTGTGTGTGTGTGTGTGTGTGTGTGTGTGTGTGTGTGTGTGTGTG